CTGTTAACATTTTAAGAAAACTGCTATGTAATTGTTTAAAATGAAAGTCTTAATTAAGTGTAAATACTTAATTTTTGTGTAACAAAAGTGTTTTATCAAGAAAAGATTGCTAAGGACAAAACACCAAACAAAGATTGAGCGGATTTAACCGCCAAAAATGGTGGAATCATCTCAAACTGAGGTAAGTAACATGAGCTTTAAAACCAGTGATATAAACAATGAAGACGGCTCCTGGGAACTGGTTATGGGTCGTAAAAGACCTATGATAGATTCGAGCGAGCTAAGAGCTCAAAAACGACCGACAGAATCTATCCCAACCTCGAACAGTTTTCAGGTTCTAACCAACATAACTAATTTACAAACAGAAGAAGTTAGAAGAACGCCTCAAAATAAGTTAAGTTAACAATGAATAAATAAACGTATGTAATGAAAATTATAGTAGTTCACGCTATAGAACATGTAAAACTTAATAAAAAATAAAGAACCAATAACTTAAAACAATGGGCACCTTGATAGTTACGCCTGAATTGATAGAAGTTTCATAATTCTCTTCTTCATCTTCCTCATCCTCTACTTCTTCATCATCATAGTCCGATATGTTATCAGCATCCATCATTGAATTCAGATGTTTTGACTCATACTACAAAAAAATAAATAAACAAATTAGCTAATTCTGTATTAGTAATATACCGGACTGCTATGAATAAACATAAACATAGCATAAAACTGTTTTGTAACACTAGAGATCTGTTAACCATTATATGAATCATTGGTGATAGATAATCAGTACGCAGTCATTTTAGGATTTTTATTGTTGTTGACATTTCAACCCACGTGGGTCATCATCATGGCTTGTTACCAGCATTGAAGGTGTTCAAGTACTGAGTAAATTATTGAAGGAAGTTAGTCAACTGTTCTACATATTATAGGCGATAGATAATCAGGACAGTCATTCTAAGATTTATATTGTTGCCAACATTTCAACCTAAGCATATGGGTCATCTTCAGGGCATTGAAGTTGTTGAAGTACTCAGTGTTGAGTACTTATAAATTTTCATGCTTGGGTTAGAACGTCAGCAAAAAAAAAAAAAAAGAAAATCTTAAAATGACTGGGTCCTAATGATCTACCACCTGTCATACATATCATAGGTGATAGATAATTAGAACACTGTTCTAACAATTCTACAGAACAGTGGACTAACTTCTATCAATACGTTATATGAACCATTTAATGTGAATATTTAATTTAATTAATGTCAAACTTCATTACTAACTTCACGTTTTCTTTTCTTCCTCCTTTCTATTGCTAAAAACGAAGCTGCAATCAGGCAGCAAATTGCTGCTTTCCTTTTCCTATCACTCATTGTTAAATATTTCCACTTTACATTTACGAGGTGAGACCAATATAAACAACAACAATAACAACACTATAACCTTCGCAGAGCAAAGCATTGCGCCAATGAGTTCGCCTCTTCGTGTGTTGCAACCTCTTTGGAACAAAGGTTGCAACTAATACACCAAATGTTGGGCTGATGAAAAAAAAATTTAAATTGACTTCACTTGAGAGAATCGCTAAGATGGACTAAAGAACACATATAAGTTCGATATAAAATTTTAAGAAATAATAAGTAGATTGTAACATAAAAGAATAATTTCAAAAAACCAAATTATGAATAATTCCTCATCAGTTCAAGCAAAGAACATTTTAAGAAATTCGGGCTCACCTTCATGGAAGAACATGAAGGCACTACCCTCCACTGGAACTATTATCTCTTATTTCTCCTTTAGTTAAGCATCGATTTTATTTCATGTTTTATATTTTCGTGGATATCCATAACAATATATCCTATATTAATAAGACGCATCGTAGAAAACGTTTTAGATCACGAACTACGAATGGAAATTTCTTTTCACCTAAACCAGAAGGATATTGTGACAGGACAAACTGGGTACCATATGAAAAGAATCATTGAGCCTGTTCTCAAGGGAGCTAAGAACAAACAGAAAGATGCTGCAGTCGCATTCTTGGACGTAACTGGGGCATTTGACAATATTGGCCAATATTTTGATGTCCTTGGAAGCTAAGGGTGTTTCAGCTGACCTAAGAAAAGTTATTTGAAAGTCTGTTGTGGCACAATACAATAAGAAACAATCAAGGAGTTAACAAAACTGGCCTTGTCAGTGTTTTGAGAGGATTGCCACAGGGTGGACCACTTTCGCCAGTATTATTAAATTTGAGTATTGACTGACTATATACAGAACTCTGTGACCCGAAAGTTACAAAAGAATATGGATACAAATTAGATTATAACCATGACCCTGTTCTACTTACTGCTTTCGCAGATGGCGAGGCGGTGATCGCTCACAATGTTGAAGCTGCTGAAAGGACAATTAACTGCATTTAGAAAATGTTCAGCGAGTTGGAATTATCCTTTAACTCTCAAAAAAGTTCCGGAATTATCTTAAATAAGGGTAAGTTGATAAGATCAAAGTTCTGTTTGGACACCGGGGAGATAATAAGTTCAATTGATGAAGGAAACACAACCAAATACTTCGGGTGTCGTTTCTGTGGTGAGCTAGAATTTAATGATAATTCTGTTAGTAGGGTGAATCGTAATCTGAAAAAACTAGTTCATTCGAATATCTTTAAGCCGGATCAGAAGATTAATATAGTAAACGAATATGTATTCTCTGCTTTAATATATCTCTCATCACTACTAAAATCAATAGACGTCATACTACGAAGAATTGTACGAAGGCCATGTTAGATTTACCAGCCCACACGTGCTCTGCTACGATGTACGCGTCGCGGCGATACAGAGGTCTTGGTCTTTTGCGATGCCAGTGGGAAGCTCCTCTTCAGCACTGGTTTATTTCCCAAAAATTGGCCAATATCCCTGATGCCCTGTTCCAGACGATTTTTTATTTCGGAGACGAAGGTCGACAGTGTAATGACCTGTTTCGATGTGAATAATATAGAAGCGTCAATATCAGTGAAGAAAGTTAGGCAGTCCCTGAGGGAAAAGTCATTTGAAGATTGGAGCAAATGCAAGTGGCAGAGAATATGTGTGCCCCATTTTAAGTCAAACCAATCCGCTAACAAATTTATGTATGACAGAAAAATTCTTACAGGCTCAGAGTGGACAAATGCTTTGAAACTAAATGTCAATTCTTCGAGTAGTTCCAGGGGCCGAAGACTAGACGAATGGAGATGGACCCCTCTGCCGCAAATGTAGCCGAGTCAGAACCCCACCTCATGTATTGGGCAAATGTCCAAATAAGATGCTCCTTGTCACTCGTCATCACACTAACATAACGTATAGAATATCCAAATTCCTAGAGATGAAAAATTATAGATGCTTCCTCGAAGTTTATTGCCTGGATACGTCAGGCTCAGCAAGATTCGTAGACATCTTGGCCTTTTATACAAAAGAAAAGGAGGCTCTTATAGTCGATTCTACAATTAGATATGAGACAAATGATGAGCAGTAATATCTCAAGATACAAATTGAGAAGGAGAAAATATATGAAAAATGCATTCCGTGCCTGAAAGAGAAATATAAAGAGGAATTTGGAGAGAAAATCTTTGGTAAGAGGACTTTGGTTTGGAAGTGGAGAGGCAATTCTTCTTTCAACGGCTAGTTTTTTGGAAAAGCTAGGTGTTGAAAGAAATGAGATACAGAGTATGGCAGAGTCCATTATTTTGGACTCACTGGGAATCCTGTACCATCACATCTACAGATCATTGCTTTATGGATCTGGGACAGATTGAGAAGAATGATGATGAGAAAAGGAAAGAAACAACAAATGACATTTTTATATACAATGGGCATCAAGCTGAATTGCTAAATATTGTCACCTGAGATAGATTAGTATGCTGTCAGTTAGCAGCTCAACACAGTTGAACAGCATTAAAATTTTATTGTAATTCTCCATATTTTTCATATAAAAAAATAATGTGAAATGGGTTCATTATTTCAAATAAAAATAATTAAAGCTACTTTATTGGAACCTGATTGGAATTTGAAAATTAGCCATTTAAGCCCTGTTACAGAGCATCAATGAGAATAAAACCTACATTACATTAAAAATTGCTTAATAATACACTGATACAGGGGTGCCCAAATGTGGGTTTCATGGTGCAAGCAAAAAAAATATTAGTTGCAATTATTAGTTTGCCTTCGAACAGCCAAATAGCCTTAAAGGATACTTTTTTTTTTTTGTGTCCTCTTTCTCTCTTTTTAGGCCAAACAAGGTTTTCCGTAACAGGGACATGAATCACGTATTAACCCAATAGTACTATTGAAAATTAACAGAAATACTGACCATTTTTTTTTTGTGGGAATAAGTCCCTTAGCCCCCCAAGAGAACAGAACTGATAACAGTAGACAACTTCCAACACAAAAATTCGTAACAATTTTCCACTGAATAACACTAGTAAGGCAGACTGAACACAATATTGGGAGAAAAAAAGGGACAGTTCAATGCTCAAAAACTTTAAAAAACGAAAATTCAGGATGTTTTCTTTATTACTGGATGATACTTCAAATCATTTATCTTAGGTCACTAATAAAAATCAATATTGTTTTGAAAATATTTAATTATACTAAAGGTATCAGCTTATTTCCTTTTCTTTTTTTTTTTTAATTTACAATATAAAAATGTCAATCAGCAGCTATTGATTAAAATGTTCCTCCTGATGAGATATACCTCTATGTTGCCAATTTATAATAGAATAGTTTATAGCCAGAAATAAAATGAATAAAGATAAAAGAATTACTTTCAAAAACATTTGAATAGCATGTAACATAGCTAAACGTATTAAAAGAAAATCATTTCTATTCATTAAAAAAATTGGATAATTGACTTATTTAGCACCTTTCTGGAATGCTATATGCCTCAATTAGAAAAAATATGTATACATAGAAATATAAAACATTCGCTAGTATTGGTTAGATGGGCACTGTTTGAATAGATAAAATATATTTTTCTGAGAGAGAGAGAGGAAATATTATAATTAAACTTAAGCTAAATGATGTAACATGATTTATTTTATATACAAGTGTATAAAATACATTAATAATTTAAAAACAACTAAAAATTTATCTTTAATTTCATACATATGAACAATTAATTTAGTGTCCCATAAGTAGAGGGAAATATTTATAGGAGTGATACCAGAACTCAAAAGTTTATATAAATATTGGTCCGATTTTCAACAGAAAAGTAGTTAATTTGAGTTTTGTGTGTTTTTTTAAGTGTAATGGGGTTTGGTGAATAGGTAGTGATAACTAAAGAAATATTTAAGTTAAGTAATTAACAATTCTTCACAGTAATATAGGCAAATTTTACTTAAAGTTAAAATAGTTTGTCATTGTTAAAATCTATTAAAGAGGACTTTTGAGCAGCTGAACTAAGCAAAGTTTATAAAAAATCATAAATTATTCACTATTTTTACTTTCATTTACTTATATATGTAATATATAGTAAGGAAAAGGATAGCGATAGTGAAAGTTTTCTAATCTGAGTTTTTAAGGAAAATGCATGTTTTGAGGTCCCCTGAGTCCAAATAACATAGTCCTTGCAAAATGGTCTGTGTGTATATGTATGTGAACAATCTAGCTCAAAACAAAGTCATACGCAACTGAAATTGCCTTTTTAAGGTATTCAAAAACTTAAATATCTTTCGTCGAAATTGGCTAGCCAAAAGAGCAACTTTACATCATCGAATTTACACATTTTTAAAATGTTCTCGAAAATGGCGCCAACAATTTTGGTTAAATTCATCACATCAGAGTAAAATTAAACTTTTTTTAATGTAATGTAGGTCTTATTCGAATTGATGTTCTCTATCAGGGCTTAAATGTCTAATTTTAAACATTTCTTCCTCTGAAGAACCTTTGATTTATTTTTATTTGAAATAATTAATCATTTCACATAGGAATCTGATATGAAAAATGGTTAAATATAAAATATGAAAGAATTTGATAATTATCTAAAGAAGTAACCTCCTAGAGAGTAACAGGATGCTATACCTGATTATGTATTATAATAAAATAAATAATTAAAATATACAATCGTTGAAGGCAATGATTAGTGAAAAAAAAGAAGTATATTACATTAGATGGCTGTGAAAAGCATATGGTAAAATATTTTGTACTGTAGTTTTTATTTATTTTTTTTTATTGATTAAATATCTGTGGTTTTTACTTTCTTTTCACTTTGTCAGATAATACCTATTTCTTCTATAAAGATAGTAAGTGAAAGTTGTGTGATGTGCGCACCGCACCTGATTTATTTTATCGTTATTTAACTATACTACAGATATCCCAGTTTCAGAAAAACTTTTTTGTTTAATAAGCTTTAATATAAAGATTTAAAAAATCCATATTAATTAAGTTGAGGTTCATTAGGCAAAAACTTTAGATTTGCCTCAATTTCTGGAACACAAATTGTGATTTTATATCTTGTCACTTAAAAGTATCTATGTTTTCAGCAAAAATGACTAAAATAAATTGTTGCAAAGCTTTAATTTTTTTTTTTTTTGTTAACCATATAATAATAAATATAAATGCATAAACACACTTTTTATTTAAAAAATAAATAATGATTTTTTCGATTATTCATCATCTAACGTGATAATGAAAATGTAGTTTTCACTAAGATCTCTATTAAAGAAATTGATCCGTATTTACAAGTGACGAAATGAATGATTATAGTCGTAAAATTTACTTTTCAGCCGAAAAGGGGATCAATGTTTACTTGAACTTTTATGTAGCTCTGAAGGACTATTATCACACGTTTAAATATTTCCCTCTACTTACGGCACACTTCATTGTTTTACATATTTATTGTTATGTTACATATACTTTCCTTTTTAATAATAAATACAAACAATTGTTATAAATACAATCATAAATTCAGCTAAAAATTGTTATAATATAAAAAGCAATTTCTTTTTTCATTTCTCAGTGGTTGGCAAATACGGCCCACTTGCCAAATTAGTTTCCCCACCAGTACCAGTAAGTATATTATTACCTATTACTGCACACAAATCAAGTTAAATTATTGTTAACATAAAAAATAAATAATCTCTGTATCTACATTTGTAACTTAAAAATACTATATGTTTTTAAAGAAACACAACGAGCTGGTTGTACTTCAACAGCAACAAACACAATCATAAGTAAGACTAAAAAAAAAAACAACTCAAGAGTAAAAATTAATTTAAATTAACTGAAAATAACATAAAATCTAAGTAACAGCATAAGTGTCATGTCAATAACGTTTGGAATCAACTAAACAATACAATAAAAATTAACTTTTTGAATAAAACCTAAAATTTAATAACCCCATAAAGATATTGTCTTATCCTAACTCCCACTCCAATTGATCCACATTTCCTTCCACATTTCACAGCCATTATATTGTTTACAACTATTTATACTAATTTTAATTATTAAATGAAATTGATACAAGGTCTTTTCTTTACTATTCTTCAAATTTCCTACAGGTTTGAGTAAAATCAAACGTGCAGTTTTTAAACTATGGAGACGAGTCAAATAATACATTTACTGATCTGAAAGTGGAAGTATTTTTTTTTTTAAGTAGTGGATAGAATTTGATAAAATTCATATGTACTTGATTATCTGTTGAACAATCCCTAACTTTCCTCCGAATTTGAGCCAAATCGAATGTGCGGTTTTAGAGATATAGACCAATCAAGGAAAACACGGCCCATATATAAGAGAAATTATTGGACAGAATTCAATAAAATTGATGCTAAATTATTTTTTTTTACAACATACAGCATCTAATTTTGAGCCTATTTGAATGAGCCATTACTGAAATATTCTGAAAGGCAAAATGCGAGTGGAAATTTTTGATTCTGAGAACAACCATTTTTTGAACCTCTCGCACAAATACAATGCTTCCCTATTTTCGGTAGTGAGGAAGCAAAAAGAAGGTGATTAATTTTGCTTCAATTGAGATAATTTTTCATTCAACATCAACTTAGCTGTTAAAAAAAAAATGCTTTCAGAGGTAACCGATGTCCCAATAACATGATAGTACAGTAATACAAGTGAAACAGAGGAAAATTTCAATATTTTTTTTACTTTTTACAAAATCATAGTAATTGGTTTGAGAACTTCTCCAATTATTTTGCATCTCAGAATCATTATAGTTTTTTTATATCTCTCAGGCTCTCAATTTTATCACAATTTATGTAAAATATATTTCACTGCAGTTTCTGAAAATATTCTTACAGCATTTTCTTGTAAAAAAAGTGTTATATTTCAGCCATTCTTAAAGAAAGAATATCACTCCCTAGTGAACTATTAATCGCTTTTGATTTAGCAATTAAAGTTTTGGCTAAAGATATTTTGATTGATCCTTTCAATACTAAATATATAGTATGAACATAGAACCTTATTTAAACTATTGCTTCACAGTGATAAACACCATTAATAATAATAATAACACAAACACCGACACTAGGGCATTTTCAGTACACACCTTATGGCAACCTTACCTAGGAAGGCCTGAAAGAAGGTTTAAAATGCAATCACCCATCAAAAATGGAGCTAAGAAATCGATGTATAGCCTCGGACGAGCCTGGGAATGAAGCTGCACCAGGCGGGAACCTTTGACAGCTTCCTTCAGGTAATGGCGGAGCAAGTGGCGCCATCCTGTCGCAATGGACCACAAGACTGCAAGAACCGGCAACTAGTTCGAGTTCGGGCTTGGGCGAGATCATTTCTCTTCCCGCACGAACCCGGCAACAGAGACCAAGAGGTGCTCGAAGGATGAAATGGACGCCAGAAATGAACAAGGCAGTCATCCAGGCATATCTTTTGCCAACACAATTAGAAACAGACAAGACAGGATACCTCAGCAGGATTCAACAGTATTGGCAAGAATTATATCCACAGATGACTATAAGTACACAAAGACTCAGTGATCAGGTTAGAGTAATCCGGTCGAGAAAATTTCTCACCGCAGTGAAAATGGATAATATAAAAGCAATCATATAAGAACGACTAGGGATAATAGCTGCTGAGAATGAAGAGCGACCAACTGATATTATAGCTCATAGAAAGATCATTGGCGATGGAGGCAGTTTCTTCAGAAGAAGACAAAGAGGTACAAAAACTGATTCTGTCACTGTTATCCCAGCATATGCTTTATGAAGGAATACCACATGATGTTAGACCCACCCTATCAAGGATTCCTTACAAATTTAGATCCCGTATGATTGTGAAAAACGTTAATGAAGCTTTAAGTAAACTTATTATTGACTACCCTGAAATGGACATTGAAGCTGTTAGTCATTGGGCTTATGTTGCAGCTAGAGTCGTTATTATCGAACTAGGTTTAGGAGATGATAAACCAAAGAAAGATAATGGCAATATGAAACCCCCACGTTGGCAGAGAAGATTAGAGAATAAAATAGCTTCGCTAAGGTCAAGCATTGGGGTAATTACAAGCTATATTAGAAATCCGGCTGGAGCAAGTAAAAAACTAAAAAGAAGGATTGATGAAATAGTTGTACTACAAATAGGAATGGTGTTAGAATCTGAGCTCACCGAAAAACTTGCTTTACATGCTGATCTCCTAAAGCAAAAACTTGCAGTTCACGCAAACAGAATACGGCGCTATAAAACCTTGATGCTCCGTAAACAGCAGAATAAAAGATTCACAAACAGTGAGAAGCAGTTCCATCGGAACTTGGATGAAAATAAAAAAGGAGGTGTAAATTGCTTGTTAACCGATAATATAATTGACTATTGGAAGAGGCTTTGGGAGGACAATGTAGATCACAATGACGAAATAGACTGGCTAAAATCAGTGAACAGGGAACTTCAGGAGGCACCTCAAATGCCTGATTTTGATATTTCAACAGAAGAAGTAGTCATCGCTACAAAGAAAATGAAAAATTGGAAAGCTCTGGGCAGTGATAAAATTCAAAATTATTGGTTGAAAAACCTAATCTGTTTGCATGAAATACTTGCGATGAACTATAAAAAAATTATGAGAGGACAAATAGACATTCCTAACACATTCTGTCAGGGTGTTACCGTTCTAATTCCTAAAAAACAGGGAGACCTATTGGAACCACAAGACTTCAGGCCAATTACTTGTCGCAACGGAGTTTTTAAGATTTTAACATCCATTCTATCAAATAAGATTGAATGTCACCTAAGATCCAATAATTTCATCCCAACAGAGCAACTTGGTTGTAGGAAAGAAGCACAAGGCTGTAAGAAGCTGTTGCTCATAGACTCGTTTGTTACAGGCCAAACGACTACGAATAAAAGAAATTTGTCAATAGCATGGATTGATCACAGAAAGGCATTTTACTCGGTCCCTCACAATTGGCTTTTAAAAGTATTAGAATTGTATAAAGTTCATCCATGTTTAACTGAACTTCTGAAGAAATTGATGAACTGCTGGACAACTAGATTGAGGATAGGACATGAGCAGCAATCAACCCTCAGGAGTACATTAAAATTTTGAGAGGTATATACCAGGGAGACTGTCTCAGCCCCCTTTGGTTTTGTCTAGCAATGGCTCCACTATCAATTACTCACTACCAGTGGCTCCACAACGATAATGAAGAAGGTAGCTTACAAAAATTAAAATAAAAATTTTTTGATAGGAAAGACTAAAATTGATTCAAATTTTGGGAGACTTACATACAAAATTCATATAAAAACGTCCAAGTCACTAGCTTTCCCTATAACTACCGCCGGACATCCATCTGACTGTCTGCATCAAATTTTACCACCACTGAACCACAGGTATTTTATCTTTGCTGTCATCTTTTTTTGTTTGGCTAACCAGTATAGATGTTTATTGGCGGGGGTCATTGCTTCGCTCACGTAAACCCGGTGCGAATTGTTGTCCCCCCAGCCCAGATGGCGTGTAGAGAAGTCTCTTTTCGTTCTTCTCTGCTGCAGCAGTTCATCTCTTGTAGTTTGCCTAACGAAGCGAGCAATAATGGCCGGGAGTCCCTTCCTGCTTCGGTTTGAGCCTCACTACATGATCCAGATCGTCTGGACTTAACTTGATGCCCAGACCCACTCCGACGCTAAGGATGGTCCCAGTCACAGTCTCACCCGGCTTTTCTGGAATTCCTCGAATTTCGACTGTTTCTTAACTGATATTGCTAAGTATAATTTAACTGAATTTCCAGCTCCGATATTTTTTTCTTTAAGGTGGTGTTTTCGATAGACAATTTTTTGACGTGTTTTTTCTGTTCTTCCAGCAGGGTTTCTATCTTTAACAGCTTTTCCATATTTTCAAAAGACAGTTCCGACAGTTTGTTGAGGCAGTCTTTTATTTCCTTTAATTCGTCGATGCCCTGAAGCTTGGTCTTCATCTGCTTAACTTCCTCGGTCAGGGCCTTCAATAGGTCAATCATTGTAGGCTCAGAAGCGCAATCGGGGCATATCCATTTTTTATTAATTTCTTTTAGGCCTTCTGAGTCACTATCAATTTTGATGCATTTAGCATGAAATATATTTGTACATACTGTATAGGCTAATTTGTTCTTCTCCTCTCGCGCCACCGATTTACTGCATGTTTTACTGTTAACTCTATGGAATCATGTTTTACTGTTAACTCTATGGAATTTTCTGGATGCCATATTAAATAAATGTGGAGATTTTTAACCAGAATGTCTATGGATAACTATTAGATGAATATATAGAGACAGAAATGCACACTTGAGGTCTTGATTGAACGAGAGATTCTCTAAGACTGAGTCAAAAAGTGTAAGGAAAAATATCACTACTTCATCCTCATTTATTGGCTTCACCGATATATCCCTGATGACTAAAGACTTTGATGCACTCCAACATAATGTGGCATAAATAAATTATCTTTATCATTGATACTAGCTATCATCTCATTATCGGAATGGTTACATAGCCCCAAGAGCCAGTCACGAGGCATATAACTTTGATCCTCCACACTAGATTTTTAGCACTGCTAAATATTTTGAAAATGATGCAGTGGTTCTTAATCTTCAATGATCTGAAATGATAACAATATTAAAATCCTCATATATCATTTAAATACAGAAAAAATTCATGCACAGATGTTTGTAATAAATGGAAATTCAATCTATTTTTATTCTACTGTAAGCAATTAGAAAGTAAAATATTAAAGGATTCCTATGAAATTTTAAATTTTAAATAATGATATTACATAGATATGAACATAACATACTAGTCCAACAAATGTTAATCATATTCCAAGTAATCCGTCATCAATCATCTGATTCTGAGACTTCTATTATCACTTTCTGTATCATTCTTTTTAATCTTCGACGGTTGAAATCACTTCTGAGATTCCGCAATTCTCTAGCAACAAATTCTCCAAAAACTTGAAAGTCATCCAACATTCCATTTATTACAAAAAATGACTTTCTGGCACTGTTAACTTCATGACCTTTATCAATTGATACAGCCCCCTTCATTTTGGTTTGACTAACAAAAGAAATTCCTTTCGATCGACTACATTCTATACTGGAACCATTTGTAGAAATATTTGATAATTCATTCTCAGAATCATTTTCAATAAAACCTAGCTTTACCTGTAAAAATAAAATATTAACATTATTATACTTAATGACAATATAAAATTAATCATAAATGATACATATCTCATAGATTTATCCCAATGGTTATCAAATAAAATTTTATAAAATTGAATTACAAACTAATTTGATGAATTTACTTTATTATATTGATTTATAATTAATTAACCTCCCGTTTAATAGGACGAGAGCAAAGTCAAATTGAAGTTACTTTATTATCTTATATAAATTCTTTTTCTTTTTGTTATCCATAAGCAACTAAAGCTGAAAGGTTAAAAACAACGCTTCCATCCGAACAGAACTTCAGAAATTTAACACCAAAAAGCTTACAAAACCAAAAAAATATAATTAAAATAAGATATATATATATATATATATATATATATATATATATATATATATTGAAATTAAATAAAGAAATATATGTTATTATATTTGTCATTGTGAATTGATCCCTATAAGTTTCATTGAAACTTTAAAGAGTAAAGTAGACTATAGTGATTTGGTGTGGAATGATCTATAAAAATGTCATGATAGAATATCTTAAATGTAAAAGAAAAAATGAAAAATGAACAACCTGCTGAGATTGGGATTGAAGCAATGTGATCTGTGACGACAGCAGTTCCTTTCTTTGAATAAGAGCATCAACTTCCATTTTTAATTTATCTCTTGTTTTCATATTAGTTCCACAAGGACATTTTTCTTGTTTATGCTGGTACTAAATAAATAAATAATAAATATAAAAGGAAAACATAATGAATTCCACAAATCAAATTTATAATGAATCAGGACATATTAATGTTAAGTATAATAAGTATAATTCAATAAGATAGTTCGATTTTTTTTTTTCTCTAAAATCTAAAAATACTTCTTAATTAGTATTGAAATTAAGTAGTTAAAGAGATAAAGGCTAACCAAAGGTATGGTGTCCTTATTGATAAATGATTGTTCATGGGACACTAAGTGGAATGTGAGAGACCTTCCTGTTTTGCCACTCATTATTTCGGTTACAGTTTGTGGAAAGACTAAAGCAAAGCAGACAAATGTACAAGGAGAAAATATAGAAAATAAAAGGGGATGGGATGGACACATGCAAGCCATGTGTTGCCCGAAGCAACCTGTGATAAAGCAAAGTTCACAAATTCAAATCCCAGTGCCATGAGGTCTTTTATTTAACTCTGGTCTGATTCCCTCCCCCCTCTCCTGCACCGGGAAAAAACTCTGCATAGTCTAAATGACAGAGAAGGAGAAAAAAAAATTGGAATCTAAAAATTGATAAAATAGAGGTCTAGAAGGTTCTGAAATCTTTTTATTCCCATTTTTCGAGGAGGATACTGGGTATTCATATACTCCTAGCTTTTAAACTAGAATATTAAAATTCCTATAAGAAAAAATCAATATAAATTGTCAGGCATATGAAGTTTTGAATAATTATCAACCAATATATGTTAACAAACAAGTCCGAATTTTCCAACTGCCTATTTAAATATCAAGAAAAGATAAATAAAGTTTAAATAACTTAAATAAAGTTGAAAAAAAATATAACAGCTCCTTAAATTGCCCCTTAATTCAATAAAATTAAAACAGCATTATTTTCTTGAAATATAGGCATATCTAAGAAAACACATTAAAATATGCTTAAGCAAAAATAATAAATGAAATCGATTTGGGACCATGTAGGCACAAACCGCCACAGGCCCTGAAAATCAGACAAATCGTAGTAAGTGATATGCCTGTCAAACAGATTTTTGTTTGTTAGTCAGATAGCTAGACATACATAGATCCAAATTGGTTCCTTGATGTATAAAATGTAAAACATAAGCAGAAATTATCAATTCTGAGCAAAAAATTTTGTTAACCTTCCACTTGAATACAAAGCTTTCCTACTTCCAGTAGTGAGGAAGCAAAATAGTACCTTCAATAATTGACATTTTTTAATATGGATTTTCTTTTACTTCTCGAATTTCCATCTCCACTTCTTGTCGCATTTAAAACGCCACACCAGAAAGTGATTGATTACCACAGAAAAGCTGTACAAGTGACAAAAAAATTGTTTACAATACTGCCAAACACCCAATATTCATCTCTCATTAAGTATATTTCAATGAAAATATCTTTAGCTGTAGTCTTAGTTGGACAAGAAATGAAGAATACTTACACAAACAAAAAACTGAGTGAGACAATTCTGCTCAATATAATAATATACCTTTCCTTCAGCACGTTGTTTTGCTCTGCTCTTTCTTTTCCTTTCTGCAGCTGTCATTGGTCTTTTAGAAAGAACTTCATTTAAAACGGGTTCTGTAGTAGGTTTATCACCATTCAATTTTGTCATACTTTTTTCACTTACAGCTGCTCCAGGTATTTCATTATTTTGCTGTATGGAAATACATATGTATTAAAATATCTACTGTTTTTGAGGATTTTTTTTATTACTTCCAATCAAAATATCTATATTTAAAACCTGCTGTTGGTCACACATATTAGTTGAATAATTTTTCTGCTTGTTGGCTCCTTTCTTAGCTGCTTTCTCATTATTAGAAGATTCCTCAACAGAACTGTGAGACTTAATTGCACTGGAATGATCCTGCATAATAATATTTTACTCAACAAGTATCATCAACATGGGAATATTCTAGTAGTTATTACTAACATAAAAAAACAATAGGCGATTATTTAATAATTATTAATAAGAATGATTTAATTCAATTTTCTCATAGACAATTAATATTTATATAGAAAATCTTTAAACCATTTTATTAATCTATTATTTAATAAAAAAAATATTTTAAAAAAGTGAGAGAGTGAACAAAGCAAGTAACAAGTACCTTATTGTCTGCATTTTCAGAATTTTGATAATTCCCAACTTCTTCTTGATAGGAGGAAGTTCTGTGATTAACTTCTATCATGAGATCTTCAAGATGAGAAGCAGCCTGTAATAGTAAGACAATTTTACGATATGAAATTAGTATTTATTTCTTTTAATGACCCAAACCAAGACGATTTGAAAGGACAGCATGCTGGGGCAAGGGTCCCAAAGAACCTGGTTTTTATTGTTATAGGTTCCATTCCCATCTGGGTTAATAAATATCTAATTCTTGGTGGACCCATGAAATTAATCTTAACACTCCTACTACTGTTAGTATTTGGCGGAAACTTTCAGATACCTGTCATGTATAAGAAAAAAAATGACCACAAGGTCCACTTGTGAGGCTAATATCCTCTACCAGTCCCAGGAACAGTAACCCGAAACCTAGAAAGTTTTTAGGTATTTGAAAAATTGAAAGCTTAAAACTTTTTACTTCCCCTTACGTACATATGTAATATATAGTAAGGGTAAGTATTGCGATCGTGAAAATTATTGATTCTGAGTTTTATTATTTATTCTGAGTTTTATTATTTATTCTGAGTTGATTTACCCTGATTCCAAATAACCAAGTCCTAAAAAATGGTCTGTATGTCTATGTATGTTAGCAGTTTAGGTCAAAAACGAAAAGTCGTATGAAACTGATATTACGTATTTAAGATAGGCATATGCCTTAGATGTGACAGCAACTTTTTCCTTAAAATCGAGTAACCAGAAGTGCCACATTATATTAACGCTGAAACACATTTTTACAATTTTCATCAACGGCTCTAACGATTTTGATTAAACTCATATCATTGTATAATTAAGTAGTCTTTAATATCAATCAGGTCTTATCCCCACTGATGTCACTTTACAGGTTAAATGCCCATGTTCATATACGTCTTCCTTTAAAGTACCTTTAATATGGTTTATTTTAAAACGTTAATCATCTCACATTATTCAGAGTTACGAAAAAATGGTAAATATAACTTTTGAAAGAATTTGATAATTCAATAAAGAGAAAAAAATAAAAATGCTTATATAGGTCGAAAATGAATCTCGGAAAATACTAGTCAGAAGGTATACGTATAATATATCATTGGAAAGCGGAGAATTTTAGGAAAACCAATATCTAATATAGAAAGTTGTAGAAGGTAATGGAGAGTGGCAAAAAAATTATAAATAATAATTTTTGAAAACTAATAATGTTTAACATAAATCACATGTTTTCAAGGAAATTAAATGAAATTTACTTACAAAATGTAATGTTTTAAAATATTTTATAAATTTGAAAAAAGTATTTAAAATCCACCTAATGAAGGCAATGACATTGTTTAAAAAACTCTTACATTGTCTATGTGTGAAAGAAGAAGTAAAATATAAAATCATTTCATGGATGTATAAAGCATATGTTTATAACCTTAAATATATTTATGAGAAGGAATTAGTCGGGGGTGCGGTCATATAAATACTAAATTAAAATATATTAATTGTTTTAATTTTTGCCGATGTTTCGACCCACTTTGCAGGTCGTCTTCAGGGCGTAGGATGTAGCACTGCAGAAGACAGTTGAAAAGTTAGGCATCAACGTCTGTTAATTGTCATGTAAATTTTTAGAAAATTAAATAAGTGAATAATTTGATGAATCTTCCCTTTGTGATATTCCAATAGTATCCATTACTATTTCATTGTAGTTGTGTGAAAAATATTTCATAGATACGTTTATAACCTTAAATATATTTACTGTAGTTTAATAACTCTATATCTGATATTATATTTAAATATTTAGGTATCTATCATTCGATTATTCCGAAAAATCATCATGTAACCTTTTAGAAAATTAAATTAATGAATAGTTTGATAAAATTTCCTTTTGCGATATTCCAACAGTATCCACTTACAATTAGTTTGACAACTTTTGACCTGTCACAATGCAAATCTCTTAATTCCGTTTTAGTAAACTTTGCAATGGAAAATAACAGTTTTATAACTAATAGTCGTACAGTCCATAATCAATGGATCGTGCAATCCATAATCAACGGATCGTACAATCCATAATGAACCAGCGACATAAGAAATAGGACTTTTGTTATTTGAATGGTATTTATGATTTGTTAGCTATAATTTTTAAGCTTTAGCTCGGTTAAAAATGCAATTCAAAAATTTCATAATAGCCCAACATGGCCAGAAAATAATTTCTATTCGAAGTTGAGCGGTAAGTGAAAGTTGTGTGTTGTGAGCACCAATTTTTTTTTTTTTGGAAACATTTTCAGAATCAAAGGATTACTTTGGAAAAAATTAAAGAAAATTAATAGGACCAAATGGCAGAAACGGTTAGTTAGGGTTAAGAAACAAAATAAATGGAAGTTCATAAGGTTAGATTCTTTCTCATTTTGGGAGCAAGATGTCTCAATAGGGAATTCATTTCATTGGGATAGGAAATTGCTTCAAGTTTGATTCTCTCACTATCAGTTTTTTTGGTTTATTTTCGTCTCGTGAACAGAAAGCCTGAGTGGGCTTACTTAGACTTAAATTTCCTTTGTCCCTTACAATTAACATCTTAAAAATTTAATTTATAGTGAAATAAATTGCTTTGAACAACTTATGAATAAAAGCTCTATGAAAAGTTCTATTAAAAAATTCCATGACATAAAGTATCTAAAGGAAAGTGGAGTATCTGAGTGAGTAAGGTACTGTGCTCCAATCCTTCATGTCCTGGATTCGGGCATAGCTGTGACAAATAATTATTTATTCAGTTATATCAGCTGTTGATCAATCTGGAGCACACCCACCCTCTATAAAGTGTGCCTTCTTTAATTTTAAAAATTATTTGCGGAGAAAACGGTTAAGTAAGCATGATCTTGGTCAAATCTCCTGCTTGCACAACTCTTGACTAACAAATAGTACTTTCTTACACAGAACTGAACGCAAGAGTGGTACGGGTTTTAATTTTTCTTTTTTGTAAGAAAATACAAATAAAACATTAAATTTAAAAAAGCTAGTTAATACCTCTTTTAAAATACTGCATCTAGGAATTGAATTCTTAGTCATGTCATCTTTTGATACATCATCTTGAGAAATATAATCAGTTAGTCCTGATTCTATATGTAAATGAACATAAAACAAACGATATAGATTAAGATCTCACAGGATACTATAATTTAGATGAAATTGAAAATCTTAAGAACTTTTTAAAAGATTGTCTGGGCAAGTATTTATTTTATTTGTTTATTTACATCGCTTTGATAGTTTTAAATCAATAGCAAGAGAGTTGGCTTTAATACATTTGACATTTTAACAATACCCTTCATGATCATTGAAAACCTAGGGAACTTTTTAAAAAATCGTCAGCCTAACTCACAGTAAATAATTTATTTTTTCAATACTGTTAGTACTAATTAAAGGTTCATTCTTACTCTCATTTACCTATAGATGTAATATATACTAAGAGAAAGTATTGCGAACATGAATCTGAGTTTTCAACAGAAATAAATATTTTGAGGTCTCCTGGGTCCAAATAACTAAGTCCCACTAAATGGCCTGTATGTGAACAGTCTAGTTCAAAAACAATATGTCGTACTTCACTGAAATTGTGTATTTATGGTTTGTACACGCCTGAGATATTATACCAACTTTATATCATTGATTTTACAATTTTAGTGTAAAATTAAGCGGATTTAGATTTTATTTTCATTGATGTTTTCTAACAGGTTTTCAATTACTAATTTTCAAAATTTCTTTCTCTAAAGTACCTTTCATTTTTTTTATTTGATATAATTAACTGTTTAACATTGTTAACTGACATAAAAAATAGTTAAATATAATGAATGAAGAACGTTGAATGGTGAGTGAAGGAGAAATAGAGATTCGAAGCTACACGGAAACAGCCGAGAGCACCTGATTTTTGCCGATCCTCTCCTTTTACAGATACCCGATACCTCTCTGCACAGGGCTTTCATATTCTTAGTTTAACTTTTATATATCACTTATCCATGACTTTCTAAAAACATTTTCACACGAATTGTTGATAATTTACTAATATAAACTTCAGAATATACAATATTTTCTAGCATTATTTTTTAAATGAGTTACGTGATAAATGTTTTCCAAAAAACTAAGAATTTTTCCAAAAGATCTATTTTCCCCCACAATCATAAGTGCTTTTTTGATACTATACACAGTCATAATAAGAAATTAGAAGTAATACAAACATATACATTTAACAGATTCAATAGATGGGTACAACACGGTAATTAATTGTTTTAAATAAATTTAAAAAACTAAATAAATGGTGAGAGATCCCAGGATATTCTTGGACAGAAAAGATTCACACAAATTCGAAAGAGTGGCTTTTAACAGTTCTGAATCATTCCTTAAGCTTAATATCCTTAAATAACTGGCAATGGGTACCAAAAACTGGAGAGATTGCACTATTTCTATAAAGTAATAATATATACTAAATTTTTTAAAAAGTGATTCAAACCTTTTGTAATCAATTGCATTCTTCAATGTAATCTTTTGTACCATGTGATAAATTTGCTTGATGGATAATGTTACTTAGACCAGGTTCTATCTGAACAATAATATAAAATGGTATTGGTAAAAAGTAATATCACACAATAATACTAAAACTATATGAGTAAAAAAACAGATTTTTTCTAAATTAGTAATATAAATTGTTGAATAAAACTTGAATTTCAAGTTTCAAATTGATAGTAGCTTGAAGACAAAATATATGAAGATGATAAGATTAAAAACAAATTTGAGCTATTGGCATGGCTTAACAATAATTACTAATATATCCTTCCATTCCCCTAAATCAATCTGCAATCTGATGATAAAAACGACGAATGATGACTGGCTTCTGAAAGTGAACATAGCAGTCAACTTTATCCAACAACTACCTTTCTCATAGTTGCTGTGTATCAAGGATTTCAATATTGTGAAATGCGCATAACATTAATTTTACACTAAATTACAAAAAAAAAGTTTTATAATTAATAGCTTACTCCCCTCCCTAACATCCATACCCAATACCTTAAGTAACTCAGTTTTTTTTTTCATTTATTCTTTTTAAAAAAAAAAGATGTAATTTTTATGTATTCAATGATGAGTATTTTAATTTGGATATTTATTTTACTTATATTCAAATATATATACCATATCAACCAATGGAGCCCTTGACCTCCATACCATGGAATAAAAGTGGTTAAAAGATTAAAACAAGGCAAAAGATTGGCCTGCCATACTCAATTATTTTATTTTATCAAATTAAAATAAGACTGTTTTCAAGTACTACCATACTATTTTTTAAGCTTTATTGGTGAGTTTTATTCACTAACTTGAAGCTCTAACTAACTCTCTGATAAAATTAATTGGAAAGCTATATGAGCAATCTTTAAACAACTGTAAGTAATTAAAGAGGAAGGAGATGGTCTGAGGTGGCAGTTACAAAGTACATTAGTAATTAAATATTCTATTTAAAAACTAAGGCCCCATTCTCCCAGCTTTAATGCTAGGATAATTACAAAACTCTTTCATTATTTATTAAAATCATTAATGGATGATTGCATTATACTGCTGTAGGCCAATTGCCAACATAGCTTCTACACTGATTCAGTAGAACTTACATAGTACATGTGAATATCAAGCCACATTTTTTTTTTATGTAAATAAGAAAATTAATAGTAAGATACAATTTATAACCATAATTGATAGTACATCACATTTCCTGATTAGAAGTATGCAAGATATTAAGAACAGTACTTACTTCAATTACTATGCCTGTATTTTCTGGAGTTTCAAGAATTTCCTTTTTTTGATTTGAACAAATTATGTTTTCAGCATCCATGTCACTCTGATATTCTGATGTATCCTACAAGAAAAAATACAATTAAAGAAAATTACATGAGATAGTTGACTGGGGATATAAATATTATAGATTGGGGAACATAGAAAATCTTTTTCTCAATGAAAAGCAAATAGAATTTATAAATTCTAACTTAATTTATAATTCTTCATCAGGCATAAGATAAATCAAACATAATAACTCATAAAAATATAAAAAGTTTAAATATGGCGCAAACAACAAACAAATTTGTAATATTTTTTTATTTGGATTGTAAATATATAAAATTACTTTGTATCTCTTGCTTGTGGTTAAGATTAACAAGTGTGCCAAATATCAGCAATTAATTACTAAATATATCGCTATGAGTCTTATTTTGTACCCTTCTCAACACATAAAAACAAGTTAAAGTGAAATGTGTAAGCGATTTTATTGTGAAGTCCCATCTCTTTTTAAAATTTATTTACTTTATTCAGGTAACTACGGTCCTCACTTGGAGCCTTGGCGAGGGATTTAGGTATGCCTAAGTTAAACATTTTCCGACTATATTTAGGACAGTCTTCAAATATGTGCTTCTCTGTGAGAGTTGTTTGGTAGTTCTGACAGTTTTGAGTTAGCTGTTTTGTCATTAGATAGTCTAGGGATTATTTATGCTTTGTAGCATGCTCAGTCCGAACAGATCACAATAGTATCTTTCCTGCTTGAAAATCCCACTTGGAGGCCTTTTATGATTTCTCTTTAGCAGTGAAAACCGAGCATGTTTTATTTAATTTACACATTTGAGGTATGTTGTTACAAATTATGGCACATGATGTCGGATTTTCTGTTATGGATCCATCAGTACAAATAATAACGGAGTTTTTGTAGTAATTTAGAATAGCAGCAAATGTTTGTAATAATAGATGGCTTGAAGTAAATTTTGATTCTTCCTGTCTCAACAATTTGAATAGATTTATTTTAATGTTGAGGTTTTGCTTAAAATATATTGTTGAATACTAGCTTATTTAACTAAATTAGACTGTAGATCATTATATTTTATAAACTGTTTTATGAATTGATGTAACTTTTAAAAAAATAAATTTTTGGTTTTGAGATGTTAAAAAATAATGACATAATAAAACACCCATAAATTTCAGTTTTTTAGAACTATATCGAAATAATTCAATTTATGATAATCCCCAATTACCTTTTAAAGATATCTAGTTTAGAAATCTGCAATTGGTATCAAAATTACACTTTGATTTTTCTTGATCCCAAATAAATTTTTGATAGTTTTATTTTTATAAGTGACAAGTTGTCTGACAAGGAAATTAAGAATTTATAATATGACATCAGTGATGTGGTGAGTCAGATTATAATTTCTTTAATTTCCTTCTCAGACAACTTTTACTTTTTTTTTCTAACCTCCCAAAATGTTTATTTAATCAAATAACATATATAGCATTCAATTACATAACAATACAATATATACAAGTAACAAATTCCTTCCACTGACCGAGGGCATTTTAAGGATTGGGGATAGCTAACAGTAACATATGTGGCAGAAGGCTTTGTGACTTTCATTGAATGGGGAGGGACCATTCTGCTAATTATTTATTATTTACAACATATACATGAGTGTGGACCGCAGAGTCCAGACCACCTCCTTCGGCAAGCATGTCCACCAAAGGGAGTTTACCTTGCCACCTCCCAGGTCTGGGTGGTAATGAGATCTTATTAAACAGTGGGTTTGCACAGGCCTTCAGCCCATCAAAAAATTTGATGTGCCTCCGGCCTATGAACTCAGGTACCGAGGGAAGCTGGAGTTCCTCGCGTATTGTTTGATTCTTAGTGGTGTCATGGACAATTCGCTGAAGGATAGAATTCTGGAAGCTCTGTAGACTCGTAAGTGTGGATTTATATAGGTATCGCAGGAGAGGGGCCCCATGGAGCAGTGTAGGTCTTATTATAGCTTTATAAATTTGGAGCTTGAGTCTCAACTGACTTCTTTCGTGCCAGCTTGATCCTCTGCCTAACCTGATTGGAGAAGGTTAAATGTCTATCCAGAGTGACGCCGAGGTAGACAATCGAGGTGGGGATTTTATGATAAGCTTCTCCAACGGTGAATTGTGTGGGTAGATGCTTCTTTCCCTTCTGAAACGACATGACAATAGCATCAGTCTTCGCAGGGTTCACTCTGATACCAATCTCTTCTAGTTCTTCAACAATTGTGGCTGAAGCATTCTGTGCCAGAGTGAGTACAGTCTCCGCATTGACGCTGGAAGCATATATGCCAATTTCGTCCACATTGCTGCTACCACCGCCTTTAGATGCTTGAGTGCCACCACTGGCACCGTGAAAACGACGAACAGTAATGGCCCCAACACAGACCCTTTTTTTTAATTTTTTATTTTTATCTTTTTACTTTGTACCAATTTATATTTTGTAGCCCTGATAAAGACCAACAAAGTGGGTATAAA